AAGTGTCATTTCTGCAGTGTTGTCCTGTGATAAGATGTGACTCTCAATAAGAGTCTACTCACTTTTGTGACGTGCTGTATGGGACACCACTTATCAGGCACTCATAATGCAGTCCTGAGATCACTGCCAAGCACCATTCACACACTGAGTCCTGTTGGTTCACCTGGCACTCCTCACCATTCAGAACCTCTCAGATTAGAGATCAGGTGTCTTTAAGAATCAAAAAGCTGCTGTCTTCTACTGAAGCAGTGTGGATTATCAAATGAGTCAATAAATGCATGGGCTTTTCATTTCGAGTAACTGCAAGAGTGAAAAGAACTTTTAAACAAATACAAATTTAGGTACATCATGTACAGTTTAAGATTCTAGAACTCTGCTGTTCCTATGTGAGTGTGGAGGAAGAAGGGGATGGAAAGACTATGAAATGTTTTCATTTTAAAGCCTAAATGAGCCTCTTACTCTCTCTTACACACCGTTAAACATTCACTATGCACAGTAATTTGATTTGTTCTTAATTAAGCCTCTCCACAACCTGTGGGGTTCCTTTTAGTGCAATATATTACAAATACTACCGTGCAGAATGCTAAGTGAGCCATCAGGTGGTGGAGAATGTGCGGTGAAATGCTTGAAAATGGACTGCTTCACCAGGATATTTGGCCTTGGCAAGTGCTCCCGCTCGGGTCAAACTGTAAATTGAGGGGTGGACACAGGCGGGGTGAAGGTATCATGTCGTTGTAGTCAGGCCTGATTACTCCTGCACGTAATGATACCTGCATAGCACTTTGAAAGGCAGACTCACAGTCTGTGTAAATCCATTTGTCTTCATCCTCCCTTTCCCCTCCTCCTGAATATGCGCACCAGCGTGAATGCATGAGAGCTGATTTGCTTTATTCCTCCGAGAGCCGAACAATGAGGAATTTGAAAGCTCTCTGTGGTTCTGTCTGGGTTCCTTTAGATCAGGGGTGCCCAATCCTGGTCCTCGAGAGCCCTTATCCAGCATGTTTTAGATGTTTCCCTCTTCCAACACACCTGATTCACATGATCAGGATCGTTATCAGGCTTCTGCAGAGCTTGATGATGAGCTGATCATTTCAGTTCCGATAATCAAAACCTGGCCCCTCGTTTTCGTACCATTTGTTGTCTATCAGACCGCTTGATTCAATCACCTGTTGTTCTCTTACCTCCTGTCATGATTAGCAACTATTTACTAACTAACCACTATTGACTTTGGTATTTGCATACAGCCCCTCTCTACCCTCTGACATATCCTATAAAATGTGTAACACTGCAAATGTTCTGGGTTGGCTGACCTTCACAGACTCATGCTCTGTGTTGGTGAGCCCACCATATACCGGACTAGTAATAAACACCCCACTCCAGCAAACTTCGCATGAGGATTATGGGTACGTTTCTTCAAGAGAATCAACATACATTGAAATAACAGGGAGATTTTTATTTATTTTTTACATACTTGAATTGCCTTTATTGCACAAAGAAAAAGCCCCCGGCCCTCAGTATTGCAATATCTCCTATCATATGACACACAAAAGTCCCTTTAAAAAGCTGCAGATTTAAGAGAATATAAGAACTGATATGTTGTACAGGGGTAGGTAAAAAGGCAGCAATATCATGACAACACAGCTCCAACAGTGCATGCAAACTGTTAAAAAAGTTGCATCCATAATACAACTATCATTCATCAGAACACCCAGATAAAGCTCTGTCTGCTTTTTATAATCAAAGTCCATAAGAATCCATGTCACCCAAAGTTTACTGGAAAAACAATAATCCATTCTTTCTTTATGGAGGCTCAGCGTCGCCATTTTTCTGTAGAGGGGAAAATGGACAGCAACAGTTGAATTAAGCTTTTCATTCAATAATATAAACTAATACAAGCAAACATGTATTTATAGGAGTTTTACATTCAGGATGATAAGCATAAGCAAATCTATCCTCTTTTGTCCCCCCATACCTCTGGTGTTCTCGAAGCAGTTCTCACAGTGAACCATGCGCTTGTAGATCCACAAGCTGTCGCCAGCTTTCAGGTTGCCCAGAGTGCTGCTACACACATCACACTGCCAAAACACAAACAGATGCTCACATGAGAAAAGAGATGCACTCGGCTGCACAGATGTGTTGATTGATTACATCTGGCGGCTGGTGGCTGAATGTAATTTAGTATATTTACTTGAGTACTGTATTTCAGCCGGATATCAAATTCACTATGCTTATGTGACACTTGCAATCTTCTTTATCACAAAAAGCATGTTTACATGTAGTGGTAGGAAATATCCAGGTGTAAATGTTAAAATAAATGATGACTAGTTGCCTTTCATCTGCTTTGATCTAAGTTTGGCTTTACTTTGTCTTAATTTTTGCTGCACTGTGTAAAGAAAAAAAAAAAGAAATTAAAAAAGCAAAATAAATTTAAAAAAAAAAAATTGTATTTTACTTTATTTAATGTTTTTGAAGTGCATGTAAATATCAATGTATGTGTCTAATGTAAAATAGCATCAAAAAAATAACAGAATTTCCATTTTAAAAAGAAAATATAATTAAATAAAAACTAAAAATGTCACAAATTTCTAATAATAATGATAATGTAACACATGTAAATATCCTTTGCCAACTAAACAGTAACTGTATTTTTACAGTTTGTTTTTGTGACCTAACTGCTCTGTTTGCCTGCTTGTTTGTTTCTACAGTGTCTTGCTGACTCATGGGATTAAAGGCCCACATTAAAACTCGTATGCTCACTTTAAAGCAGGAAGCGTGGCAGTTGATCTTGATGTCATCCAGGACCATCTTGGCATCGCCGGTGAACGGCTTACGGCAGAAGGTGCACAGGTCTTTCTCAAGCACGGTCCTACAGCATATTAGAAATGAAGTGTTTTAAAGAACATTACAAGAACAATGAGCTGTGAGTTTATTCTTGGAACTTGGAAACATTGATTTAGAAAGAGCTAATAAGTCAAGCTTGAGGTACGACCTTCCCACTCCAGATATTGCAATGCTGATCTATTACTATTTTAGATGGCAGTATCTCAACAACTACTTAAAGGATTGTGCACAGATACTCATAGTCCTCAGAGGATGAATCCTGAAGATTTTGGTGATCCTCTGACCTTTCCAAAACCACCAACAACAGTTGTAAAATTCTGACTTTAAGTGAAACGTCATGAGAACCGTTGGGTGGATTAACAGAAAATCTGCTGCACACACTTATGTTTCCAGATGAGGAATCCTGAAGACTTTGGGGGTCTTTTGGTGCTACCATAAGCTTGACATTTGCAGGATCTCAGATATCTCGTGGGCAAATCACATACTTTTCCTTTTCTTTTTTTTCAGTGTTAGCTACAGCTGCCTTTAGAAAACATACTCTGTTGCATGCAGTCTGTCACAATTAGGACATACTACTACTACAAACTTGGCAGCAAACAAAGTAAGCATTATACCTACTTCACATCTTTGCATTAAGTCCAAAGCCTCACACTGCTGCAAGATTTTTGTTAGATCTTTAGTCCCTATTGTTATTTTTCTCTGACTACTTGTTGCAAGGTCAAGACACAGTATGTTGTTGCACTTTTCTTACCTGTCAGAAGACGCGTACACGTTCCTCATGGAAGATTTTGAGTAGATTGGATCTGACAGGTTATCATCTGACCTGCTGTGAGAGTTACACAGTTAAGTGTCAGACTCTTGTTTTACTTTCATATAAACTTTGTTTAAAAATATCAATCCCCACTATAGTTAATATCAACGTATACCTGCTGGTCCTGTATGATGTTGTGGTGTACGTAGTAGGACTGGTGTACGTAGTAGGACTGGTGATGCTGGTGTACGTAGTGGGACTGGTGTACGTAGTGGGACTGGTGATACTGGTGTACTCATAGCTATATAAAAAGACAAAATGAACCAGAGATTACAGGCTGCAATTAAAATATTTCTGTATACTACTGAATATGAAAGGTTTTCTCTGCTGCCTACCTGGAGTCTGGTCTGGAGTAAGAGTAGGATTTACGGTCGCTGCTGTAATCATCACTGAGTGAGCAAACACAGGACAGATTAGTGATGATAGTGGAGCTACAGTCACATTGCAGTCAGAGGCAGCTGTGCCAGATCTGTGTGTGTGAATGTGAGAGAGACAGTCAGATGATCACCTGGGCTTGGTGCTGACGGAGTAGGAGGTGGTGCGGGTGGAAGGAACATCATCATATGAGCTGTAGCTGTGGCAAAGAAGCAAAATATTGAGTTAGACATGGTGAATAAATTGAGCTTGAGTTCATTTGGCTTTCTGTAACATTGTCATGATTCAGAAACTAGAGTGTGAATGTTTCTTAAGGAGTCCTCTTGAGTTGTTTTAAGGGTTTTAGTTTTGCATCAGTTTAACCCTCAGAGCTTCAAGCTGTTTCTGGGTGATTTTTGCTTCCATCATATTTTAACTCACAGTGTTCTAATTTTATTACTCCAATATAAAGTCCTGCAGCTCAGTGGAAGAAGCACAACCATGGCAAGAAGTAATGAGAACCAAAACTACCTTTAATTCAGTATGGCAAAGTTATGATGAGACTTGAATTTATTTGTAAATCTATAGTGTGTAACAAAAAAAAAGAAAGAAAAAAGTAGAATCAATGTGTAATATATTTCCAGTTGCTCAGAGGAGTTACCAGTTACCAGTATAGGGGACCATACGGAGCCAAACTAGAAACAAATTTTATCGCACTGCTCTGCATGTCAACTCTAGAAAGATATTTCACCATGCTGAATGTATCTTTCAACAACTGGCTGATAACTTGCTCCACCATGCTGCATTTATTTTATCCATCAGGTATGTTTATGTTTCTCTCAATCTCTGTAGTTGCCTCGTCTCTGCTCTGTATGAACACAGCCTGCAGTTCAGCCGAAAAGTCAGAATTTTTGTCACATGATTTGTAGATTTGTGGCAGCTAAATCAGTTTTGCTGAGGAGAGCAGAACGTTTTGTTTGTAACAGGATTTGGTTTAACCTCTTAAGACCCGTGCTCTTGTTTAATATGCTTTTTTTTTTTTTTTTAAATTTCTCTTTTCTATTTGATCAAATAGCAAAGAGAACAAAAAATAAAAATATAAAGACAATAAAAATATGTTTAAAAAATATATAAAAAGTATTTTAAAACAATAAAATAATTTAAAAAAAAATTACCAGTAATAAAATAATAATACAATAATAAAAATAAAAACAAATAAAAAAATTAACCACTGTGGTAACATAACCCATATGCAATTTTGATAAAATAGCATAATTTTGAGCTTCAATTTTCCTGATAGAACTGTACGTCACATATGGTACATTCCAGGACTTGGCAAATGGTGAATAGAATCTTTCTGTTTTTTACAGTTTCTCACTCTAACGAATGTTGTAATTTTGGTGATTTTAAAGAAAAGGTGCCATTTAAGCCCACCGATGGATTTTAGGGTTCAGAGGGTTAAAGCGCATCGTACATTGGTTCCTGCATATTTACCTGGTGATGCTGCGGCGGGTGGAGGTTGGCGATGTCAGAGTTGGGCTTTCTCCTCTACATGACACAAAAGAAATTGTCAGAACACATACTACAAGCACAAAGATGAAAAACTTGCACACACTTCGGTGACACTCACCCTCTGCTGCTCTCCACGGTGACGACCTCTCTCCTCGTGATACTCGAACTGTTGAGACAGTGACAGTGTGATGTTTCACCCACTAGGATGAATAAATAGTTGTTTGGTTTGTTATAATAATTCACTGAGACACTTTACCTGACAGGAGAAGACAGACCAGATGTGATTGATTTGGGCAGGAGGGTTCCATACAGGTCATCCTCAGCCCTGTACAGACAACAATATTAAAAAATATATTGATTATGAGAGTAATCCTTATATTTAGAAAATGTATTTATTTTAAAAAAATGATTGACGATTAAAGGGTTATCTTACGTGGAGGAAGTCCTGGTTGTGGTTGTGGTTTTAATACCATTCCTGAAAAAAGCAAAATAAGAATACATATTTTGAATCTGGCACAGTATTTATACCACTACCACTGTGTGTTCATTGGCCTGCATAACTCACCCATCACTGCTGGTTTTGACTGTCACAGTCTCAGTACTGGACACAGATGGTTTGCTGTAATAAAGAAAATATGACATAATGATCAAGTAACACTTCATGTCTTTATGTCCTTTGAGAAGGAAAATGCATTTAACATATAACATGTGATTTAAAGCATTTTGTAGCTCTCATTGTTGTTTGCACAAATTACCTCTCTTTAACGTCGTCATTGACTGGCTTGAGGAGTGTGTCATAGAGCTCTGTCACAGCGCTGCACAGAAAGAATTTCAACAAAGGGTGAGTCATTTGTTAACCAGCAGTAAGTACAGTGAGCTGTTTTTCTTGTAACCTTTGCTAAACAGTGGCCACTGTGGCAATTCCACAATAATGGCGTACCGAATGTAGCTTCATTTTACATCATGTTTGTAATAAAACACCACTGCAATACCTATCTGTGGCAAGTTAACAAGTCTACACAGTAGTAGCACTCGTAGAATCAGCTAACTGACTATTGATGTGCAACATCTGAAGTAAATTAACATCAGCTGCCACAAACCGGCTTCTCGTACCATCCCAAATCACGCTGTGGTAGCCTGAGTATTTTCAAAAATCATTCTTTTAAAATGTAAGTATTCTCACTTTAACCCTGTGAACCCCGAAGCCTGCAATACATTTGAAAAGAATGTTGCCTTTAAAAAACAACACCATTTATCAGTGCTGAAAACTGTGAAAACAGAAAGAATCATCACATTTTTCACCTTCCTGGTCCTTGAACTACTCATCTATGATATGCAGTTTCATTGGGAAAACTTAAACTTAAAGTTGTGATGTTTCATTAAAAGCAATTTATTCTACAAGTCTTGTTTAAAAAAATACCCCAAAAATGTGGTTTGCATTGATCAGATCCTGTTAAAAAAAAAAAAAAAAAATTCAGACCTCATCGACACCACCGAGAAGCCATTAGTGATTCAGCTACAAGCAGCAGTGATGTGACAAAAATTCTGAAGCTTTTCAGATGAACTGCAGGCTGTGTTTACACAGAGCAGAGAGGACACAAGAAAGAAATACAAATTAAAGTAGTAAAACTTGTGCAGGATGAAAAGCCACCATTATTTTTCTAGTGTTAGTTACACTTATGGGTGTTTTAAAAACATGTCGCACATTGCAAGATTTCTAAGTTTTGTAAAACAAATAATCAAACAAATTTAACTTTCATTTTGTCTTCTGTTATGATTTGCGACATTAGAACTGCCATGCTACACAAAAGACATTTGAGTGCTTGCTCTCGCTTTTGTATTGTTGTTTCCATAGAGATGCAAGACGTTGTATTGCAGTGAAAACAAAAGCAAAAAAACAAAACAAAAACAAACAAACAAACAAAAAATCCAAGAACTGCTTGGGATTCCGAGGGTTAATGTAAAGAATGCAGCAGTAGAGAATAGTAGTCGGACTGTGTTGCTTAAAATGTCACTATTATATTATATTATATTATATATTGTTATGATGGCTCTGTGTTTGTAAGACACACTGAACAAGCCGCCAAGCTCACACTATAGAATTGCACTGCACACACCTACAGACCATCTGGGTCTCAGATTTATCTACAGGCTTCAAGGAGGATGAAGATGCATCATGTAAGGACTTTGAACAGGCTGCTCTACTGGTGACATTACTGTATATAAAGCATGTCTTTGTTAAAGTCATAGTTCTGTATTTAAGGATCAAACAAATCCCATTAAAGGACCCAAACCAGAATGTGTAAATGTGTCTGCCTCATAGCAATGGAGGACTTCCCTTCCCTGTTTGTGGCACTAATTTCCAGATCCATTAGTTTTTACTGAAGCAGTTCTGAAGAATTAAACAGTGTATTTGTTGGCGACTATTTTAAAAAGTAGACTAACCCATATTTCTGTTGCTCTGTTGGGTATTTCCTGCAACAGGATCTAATATGTAGCGCCCAGTGCTAAGACTCACAGTTTTGGACAACACCCTAACCCTTATCCTTTAATAGCATCTACAAAAACAAGACAAACTGCTTCTGTCTGATTAACTTGAATCTCAGCCTCCCCAGCATTATTCCCACTACGTGATGAAACTCACTTTGTGTCAGGGCTGCTTTTCACTGTCACAGTCTCAGTTGTGGAGACGGTAGTTTTGCTGCAAAAAAGATAATACACCTTATTTAGTATATAACTACATACTGCCTGGCATTCTAATCAATATATTTGTTTTCTTTCTAGGTTTCATAAGTGAAAATATCACCTGTCTTTGGGTGAATACTCCTCCCTGACAGACGAGGGGATGAGCGTGTCGAAAAGTTTGTCCTCTGGTCTGCAAAGACATATATTGAAGATGGGTTACATTGCAGGCGATGTACAGATTTACCGTCTACTTTGATTTAATAATCTGACAGTGTCTCACTCTTTAGGGCTGGTAACAGTCTTCTCCGTCACTTTGGTTGTTTTGGTAGGTGAGTAGGAGGAGTATTGTGGTCTGTGGGAAAAGATGTGAAAAGTCTCATTCAAAAAGAAGTCAGTTTTACAAAAAAAAAACAAAAAAAGCCTTGATATTTGAGCACTTGAACAGTACAGTGTGCTCACATGTGGTGCAAGTTTGCATTAGACTTGTGATTTTTACAATTAGTAGCATGGCTGATAAGTAACAAAATGACTAACGTAGAGTATGAAGGACAATTCTAATTGTTTCCATTTTATATTTTCTTGTTGTATAAATAATTACATTTAAGAGAGAAATAATGCACATTTTATTGGCACTACATTTATCTGATTGCGGCAGTTTTATTTTTTTAATGGAGATTTAAAGCAGCATCAGTTTGTAAATCAAAAAGCATTGTTCAAAAATTGCTGCCAACTTAATTGGTTCGTGACTCTTTATACTTTAGCTTTACTGAGGATTCAGCATCACAGATCTCTGTAAATTTTAGAAATTTTTTTTAAAAGGAAATTGACCTAAAATCAGAGAGAAACGAACACAGTTTTGTATCGAGGATTGTTTTCCATATTTTCTGTCCCATTAATCATCTGACAACTCCTTTGATTGATTCTTTTTTTTAGTTGGAACCAACATACACCTGGATGTAAATAAAATAGTTTTTTAAAAGCACAGTGCAGCTTATGCTCTAATAAGTATTTGAAGTATTCAGATCAATTACTGCCACATCTCTTAGCTACAGTTTTAATGAGATGGTACTAAAAATGTTTTTCATATGTCACTCTAACCTTGTGATGATGACAAGATTTACTGCATTTCAGAATTCTAATAAGAGTCTCTTATCTGTTAATTCTGGCCTTGCTGTTTAGCATTTATTTATTTATTTATTCATTTGATCAGGGACCATGCAGTTTCACATAGAAAACATCTGATGTATTGCATATAGAGTGTATAGCATTAGGCTAATTTTCAACTCCCGTCCCTGGTTGGGCTTTTCAGTAAAAATAGACAAAGGACCGACAACACCAATAGAAACAGCACAGACAGCATTATAAATTTATAATCCCCCACCCACCCTCGCACACACACACACACACACACACACACACACAAAATGGCAGCTGCTAAAGATTTAAAATGTTCCTTCTGTTGTAAATTGAGGGCCTAAGTAAAGATCACAATCACACAAACTCAATATCGTGTTATTGGCGAACTCTTACCTACATAATCATACAAAAACACTGGCGGGAATGTACTTTATGTTTTAAAAGTGAAAGTATTTACTCTGCACACTTCCCTCTGTCAGTGTAATATTATTACATTACTTTACTTTTATCATTGATGTATTTATGCATAAGTTAGAAGTGTAAATAATCTAAGTTGTTTGAGTTCATTTTAATTAACTTCTGTTCTGCTAATAGTGAAATAATTATTGTATAAAATGCTTTTCCATCACAAATGCAGCGTAGAAGAAGTTTAAATGGACATAAAAAATTAAAATAGTTAACTAATTTGTATCTATATTAAAATTATTACTCAGTAAATTACTTTTCAACACTGACGCATCTGAATCAGCAGCCTAGCATCATAATATTTAATAATAAAACATATGCTGGTGATGCCGTATTTTTGTACTTGTACTGATCCAGGATCACTATATAATATAATATTTTTACCCTTTGCTTGAAGACTTGACCCGCTCAGTGAACGTTTCAGTCTTGGTGGGAGTTTTGGTCACAGGAGAGCTGCAAAATGAGGAAATAAACACTGTAAATAAACTAATGCAGACTCAGAGGGTGATGATGTGATATATATATATATACATAGAAATGTTTTGTACCGAACACTCTGGGTGGTGGTGATGGTGGTCTCAGTGGTTTTGCCATCCTTGGTGACTGTAGTGGTTGTGGTGCTAAAGGAGGAGAAATGCAAAACTGATTTATTAAATAATTCAGTGCAATGTTTTTCCCTGTGAGCTTATTGCAAGTATTTATCATGTACCTCTTCTTTGGCTCCTCTATGATGGTGCTTTTGGATGTGGTGGTCCTGAAGTGACAGAAAAAATACAAAAATCACACTTTGAATTATTGTTCCTTTGTTGATTTTTGAAATAGTAAACTGGAGCATTACATACGTGGTGGGAGAAACCGGCTTCAGAGATGAATATGGGCTGCAAAAAAGAGGTGGATTATTCCGGTTGGTTTCCTACAGAAGATATATATATACTAGGTATTGTGTCATCAGTTGAAAATGTACCTTTTGGTGTTGGAGGATGTAGTTTTGCTGGAAGGAAGGGTGCTGCTGAAAGAAGAGAAAAATTAAGTCACATGTTTAGTTAAAATTGCTGACAACGCCTTGATTTGACTTGTGAAAATTGAATATGAAACAGTTACAATGCTGCACTGAAAAACCAGAATACTGTGTATACATTGCACCAACCTGCCCTTCAGATCATCCTGACTACCACCGAACCTGCAGAGGCAGAAAACACAACTCATAGTTCTTGTCATGATCTACTTACAAGCAGTTTCTATTTTTAAAAATCAGAAAAAGATGCCAAATTAAAAAAAAAGAAAAGAAAAAAAAAGGTACCTCTTGGTGAGAGCATGCACGGATGTTGTTGAGGTTCGAGTGCCAGTGGGTTTTGGGTCTTCAGGCTCTTGGCTGTAATTAAAAGATAGTAATTTGTATTGCACCAATGCACCAAGTCATCACATTAAATGTTAGTGTTCCAATATTTTGATCGTCATTTTGGAGAATAAAAAGCTTCTTTTACCCTGTGAGACTCTCATTGGATTTGTATCGACCCAGAAGAGATTTGCCAAAGTTTGGATCACGACTGTAGGAGGAGGAAACAAAAAAAAAAGAAAAATGAATTCATTCATACAAACAGAATGACTCAACGCTGTGGCCTGCAAAAGGAATGTAAAGAGCGTTTTGTTTTAGAGTTGAGGGAAAGCTGAAATATGAACGACAAGTCACACCCTGCCTCTCCCCAGGTGTGCGTAAATTCAATTGACCTTGTGCAACACTGTATCTGCGTTTCAACCTTTGTGTTTGTGTCACTCACTCGACGGCTTCGTCCTCATCCTCGTTTCTTCTGATCCAGCTGTTGTCTTTCAGAAGAGAGGTCTTCTTCTTGCTGTCATCGATTGCCTGGCTGGGGCTGGTGGTCTTGCCTGCAAACACATAACTGTCTCAAACTCGCATATTCATTCAAGTAACACATTTTTTGTTGGCATATAAAGGTTTATATTGGCTTACAGCATAATGGAGCCCAATAAATAAGAACGATGTGTCTCTGCTCCTTCAGTTTAATGTTTATGGATGGATGCTGCTTTATAAAAACTTGAACTTTAGTGTCTCCCAGCTGCTATATGAGCATTTTATGTTTTTATACACTGTCAAATTACATTTTTCTAATGAATATTTTTGCTCCTATTTTGATCTCTATTATATATTTAACCTCTTTTTTTTTTTTTTTAGCACAGCCTCAAGATTGTGTTTCTATTTCTTACTTTTTCTAATCTGTTACTCTTTTTCTATAATTTTTCATTCATGTTCTATTGTATTTTTAAAAATCCTATCATTTCTATTTCTTATGTGCATCTTATGATATCTATTTCTCATGAGAAATAGTCTTGAGCTGCTGTGCTATTTACATTTGAACTGTCTTATGAGCAGCTTGCTCTATGAGGCCTTATAAATTACACTAAAGTATTTGTCTGAATACTTATTAATAGACTAGTGTGCAATAACAAGGAAAAGAAATATATATATAAAAAAGAAAAATACAGACATATACAATTCATGAATTCCATTTCTGACATTTTATTATTTGAGATTTCTCAGTACTTACGTGTTTGTGACGGGTATCTGCTCATTTTGTTATTTTACCTGTGAGTGTCAAAAAAGACAAAAAGAGGCATCACATAATGAAACTACAGTACATCAGCCACTAGGTGTCAGCCCAGGCTGAGACCTGAAGTTTGTGAACAGTGCCTGCTCATTATAGATTAACCCACCGAGAGCAGCGAACATGCAAACTTTGCAGAAAACACACAAACATATTCATGTAATTTTGTTTCTTCATGTGCATTTTGCAACCTGTCATGTCGGGTTTATCGCTGTACGTCTCCCAAAGTTCTACTCAACCTCAGACTCAGTGATTCAGCCCTAAACTGGTTTGTCTTGATCTGTGCCCATATGATGACACACCCACCCACCATAGCACACCTTCTCCAAACACACCTTTGTCAGCAAAACAGAGACGCGAACAAGTAACATACCATTAGCCATTGATGATAAAGACTGTGCCCTTTCGACTATATGCACACTCTAGCAGAAACACTTCCATGTCAGAAACCTTCACGCAGGCATGTACAGCTGCAACTGAATTATCAGTCACACAATCTCAAGTCTAATGACAGCTTTTAGTTTAAAAAAAAAAGTACATTGCATTGGGGTTGTTTTATTCATACAGCTCTGCAGCTTAGAGCTAAAACAGATTAGAGCCATTTGGTAATAAACCAAATGTACTGTCAGATAACGCACAGGGTCTGAAATGAGTTCTTATTCATACGTCTAATGCTTGAAATATTTCCTGATAATATCATATCTCGTAGCAAATCGGATCGCGTTCCGACCAGTGATTTGGCAGCCTGGAATAAGAGCTCTTTCAAGGAGAAATTGCCGTTTCAGCATGCAGGTTATCACTCAAGATATGTGAATCTGGATTGTTTTCTGCATATGAATAAGGATCACATTAATCACCAGCAAACTGGGACAAGAAAACCTAGAGAGTGTGTATATGTGTCATGTCCTTGTTTTGAGTAAATTAGTGTATCTGTTAGACATGCATTCAGAGCAGAGTCACCAACACTGCAGCTATAGCATTACATAATCCTCAGGTACAGCATGATTTCTTTATGCTTATCTCTTGACCATTGAACCTCACTGCAAACATCTTGTCTAAAAGAAACTCTGTATTACACATAATGTCATCTACGTTTTAAAAAATCCAAGTCAAAACTATCATCATACAGACATATTAAACAGACTGAAGGATTCAGAAAAAGACAGGGTACGTACCTCCACAGAAGGTTCTGTGACTTGCTGTAAAGAGTAAGCTCTCGCTGTAGTACAGATATGAACAGCTGTGTCCCACGCTACACTACACAAGCACACCCTTGTCATTCCTTCTGCTTTTAACCTTAAGGGAGGGGATCCAAGGCCACCCAAGGGTGTGGCTTTACAGGACAATCAAAGAATACCTTTTTCTGTGTCCCTCTCTCTCTGAATGCTTCCGTCTCCGTCATCATCATTTCAGCGTCACTAATTGCTTCTGCTTTCCGCTTGCAGGCTGTCAAAATGGAATTGGGTGGAGTGCTGAGGAACCTGCACTTCATCTTAGGTGTTGAGGAAGCAGACCTTCAAAGCGGGTGTGGTGCTCTGTGTGGCTTTACTACTGCCTTGAACTTGAAGAAGTATGATTAACCAGGCTATTAAACGTTAACATCTCGCAAGCATTTAGTTCATATTCACTGAGATATATGCAAACAGAACTACACATATTAATATTTGCTTTAGAGATACTGTGTGGCTGACTCGACACTTCCTCCGCCAGAGGAATGACAGTGTATTAATATCTCCTTCAATTTTAAACACAATGTGGACTTTGCACTTTACACCTCAATGATAATAAAAGTACTGGAAGGTAGGCTTGTTTACATTTTATTTCTCAGGTTATGGGTTTAATTGTTACTCTCTGAAATTCAACAAATTACATAAAATTAATACTTATAACGACAGTGCCTATAAAAATATGTTTACTGTTCTTGGAAGTTTTCCCCTTTTGAGTATTTTTCAGCATTGAATCATAGTCACTTAAATTAGGCTTTTTTCACAAGAATTTACACAGAAAGATTCTCCAGTTCTCCAGGGAACATTCCCACAACATTGGCTAAGGTGGCCTACAAATTTGAATAATGATTTAAAGTTTTAATCTTATGTTCAAACAATGTTTTAAGGATATTTATCTGTTTAAATAATGTAAAGGTAAACTTCATTAAGAGGCATAGTTTTAGCTGCAACATTCAGAGGATGTTTGGAAGATGTTATCAGTCACAGATTCTGTTGCATGATAAAAGAAAAAACGTTCTCAAACCAACAATGAAAAAATGTTTTCAAGAGATTGAACCCTTAGATGATTTTATGCTTAAATGTTCCTGTATAGTGATATATTATCAAAGTTGGAACATTATACCTGCAAGGTTCTGAGGACATTTTAAGGGTTGTTGGTGAGCTAACACATTACAGAGTGTTCTTCAAGGAAGCATTCCCTCAGTGTTTTATGATGTTGCATGGTGATAAAGAAATTCTGACAAACTTTAAACTGGATTGACGTCTGGGCTCTGACTCAGCCACCACACAACGTTCACCTGGTTGTCTTTAAACCATTTCTGTGCAGCTATGGCTGGATGCTTCAGGTCATTGTCTTGCTGGAAAACAAATTATCTCCCAAGTCTCAGTTCTCTTACAGAATACATCAGGTTGTCCTCCAGGATTTCCTTATACTTCGCTGCCTTCATTTTACCCTCTACCTTTACAAGCCTTTCAGGGCCTGCTGCTGAGAAGCATCCTTACATGATGATGCTGCCACCACCGTGCTTCACAGTGAGGATGGGCTTTGTGTTTATTGATGTGTAGTCTTTGGTAACTGCCAAACATAATGTCTAATTAATGGCTGCACAAAGCTATACAGACCAAAGAACTGCCTTCCAGTTGACTTCAGAGTCTCCTACATGTCTTCTGGTAAACTGTAGTCTGGATTTAATGTCAGCTTTTTTTTCAAAAGGGACTTTCTCTTTACCACTCTCCGAAAAACCAACTCCAGCTATCTCCATCTCAGCTGCTGAAGCTTATAAATCCTTCAGAGGAGTCATAGGTCTCTTGGTGACCATCCTCACTAGTCTCTTTCTTGAACGGTCACTCAGTTTTTTTAAGGATGACCATCTCTATGCATTGATATGTGTGTGCCATATTCTTTCCATTTATAATGATGAATTTAACTGTACTCCAAGGGATATTCAAGGACTCGGACATTTTCTTATCCACACTCATCCCCTGACTTGTGCGTCTGAAAAACCTTTTCACAGAGTTGTTTGGAATGTTCTTTTGTTTTCACGGTGTAATTATAGCCTGGAGTACTGATTTACCAGTGACTGGACCATCCAGATAGAGTTGCCTTGATACTGCAGTCGCTGAGTGAATACTTTTTATCTGCACTGTATAGTGTCTGGCAACAAAGAAACTTGGATATGTGAGGTCTAACTGTAGCTCTAAACACTGACAGTTTGAATGAAACTTCTGCTGAATGGCTCCTAATACCATATATACTATACTGTACTGTACTGTACTATACTATACTATACTATACTATACTATACTATACTATACTATACTATACTATACTATACTATACTTAAATCAGCCAAACAGGCACGCCTGATTTGTTTAATGACAGTTACAGGAGGCATGAGGTTAAGTAATATGTTAAAGTCTAAATCATCAGGAGCATTCCTAAAACACAAGTGACAAACAATAAATGTCAGACTGTCTGTGGCTGTGGGCTTTATCGTTGGGAGTGCCGTGTTCTGGTTGATCGCAGGTATGAAAGGTGCATGGCATGCAAGGGCGTGACAACATGATACTGACAAGTGAACCCCTCCTAGTCACGATGACAGCATGAAAGGAATGCAGACTACCCTGCAATGACCCAGAAATGAAAGCCAGCATTAATAGGCAAAGTCAAACTTTTAAATAAAGGTGTTTTTGGGTTTTAAAAAAAAAAAAAAAGTGTGATGACATTTTACAGGAAATTACAATTACCCACAATCACTTCTCTCTTACTGAGCTACAGCAACCTGCTCACATTTAAACTTATCATATACGGTTATTAAGGAACAATTTGTGAGCTCTCAAATGAATTTGTGCTTTGTACAACAAACTCCTGCTCTTCCCATGAATGCGCAGATTCAAATAGATGACCAACACTAGGTGGCGCTAGAGCTATAATGATTGAAATTGCAATACCGGTTGCACAACTCCGTCTAAAACAAATAAACACAACAAGTTTGCCATGGAAATACAAGTCGCGATGATGTTTCACTCATATAGTCACTGGAGCAAAAATAAGCATAACCTGTTCTATTATAATGACTCAGAGAGACAGTAGTGAGTGTGAAAGTCAACACAACACAGACAAAGGAACAGAGCAGTGGCAGGCAAATAGCAACCAGCGGGCCAAATCCAGCCCTCCAACTAAAATATGTGGCCCTCTGACAAAAGCTCAAGTCTTCCATTTAGTTTACACAAAGAGTTTGACTTGGTTTTTCACAGATCCCTTACAGATAACTCTAAATGCATGTCCTTTGATCTTGTGACATCTAATACAGCCCTGTCACGAAGAAATGAAAGCAAATGTTTCATAATCTCATGTAATAAATTTCCCATTTCAATACAATGTAGTCTATGTGACTAGACTGGGCAAACACTGCTTTCATAGTTTCAGCCCTAAACCATAAATGACGCAGGACACTGCGTCACTATCCAATTATAGGTGATTAATTGGTTATCCATGGATTACCAATTAATCACTTCTCTGGTCTTGCAGTGAAACACATTACAAGTGATTAATTTGCCATTAGACTCATAGATACAAGCTGAGTTAAAAAGAAATGATCAAACAAACATGCTGACATACAGCCTCATGGTTGTAAATGCTGACTACCTGATAAGCAAAAAAAAAACAACAAAAAAAACTGGCCCATGTTTGTAAAAAATTGAAACTACCGGTGGACACATTTCTGTCCATAGTTTGAATGTTCACTTTATCATTTGTTATGCTTATTATTGTTATGACATTGTCACTTTATGATAGAACGATACCAGAGTTGCACATAATCTAACAACCTGTTTAGACTTTGAGATAAGTCCCAGTTCTTGGATCTGTGTCTAAGGCGACTTTATTTCATCTCTGCCAGCTCTGCTCACGTTTGCTGCCTGACCTATGGCTTTATATCGGCCTAGTTACAGCTCCTCCCCCCCTCGTTTGCTGTCGCCGGACAGAGCTGAGTCAAGCAAGGGTTAAATGAGCAGCCTCTGAATCTGGCTGCATCTTCACATTACACAACTCGAAGCCAAATCATTCTCCCTTTATGACCTTCTACCTCTTAAAAAAAACAAAAACACACCCGGATGGTTACACTGCAATTCAACTGAGCTGCTTGTCCCTTCTGATATTTTGTATAAAAACTCTAAAATGCGCAATTTTTCAGTTTTGTCATCCCTGATGCATGCTGGCGCTCCGATACTGCGTAGGATAATCTCTGAATGCTTCCTGGGTTGCTATGAGAAGAGACTGTAGACCGACCCCTCTCCTGTCATTGGGCCATTTCAATGCCTCGCAGCCAATAAAGCACCACTGGAGCCTGTGTACATCTCCATCTCTCTCTCTTTACCCCCCCTCTTCTGAAATTAATTTAAATGCACATCCACATACAAATGCATTTATAGTACCTTTTTAAAAAACAGATGACATGTTGACAGCAGGGAGATCCACTAAAATAAAGCATTTAGAAAAATTACTTGCTAAATACATACTCACACGTAGCAACAGAAGTAGCATTTTGTGCACATTTCTGTGAAATTTGTCTTGTCTGCACCCATTTTTGCTGTCCACCTTTGCACAGCAGTGTGTTTTAGCCTTTTCTGCCATTTTGACTGATGCTACCCAACACAGTTCCCCCTCCTGCAGTACCTCTGCTCCTCCTGCACCCTTGTGTCGCCCCCGTCAGATGGTAAAAATGCAAATGTTAACATCACCACAAAGTGCATTTTGCATCACTGGAGCACGTCAGTATTCCTATACCATTGACATTTTTAGGCAAAACTGAACTCATATTACATTGCTTTTATATTGCACATGTGTATATGTGTAAAAACATACTGTGGTATTTCACAGGCTTGTCCATGAGCAGAAATACTGAAATAAGAAATCCTGATATTGCACAGATTTTAATCTATATTGCACAGAGTCTTTGGTAAATCAAAAACACTGATACTGCACAGATTCTTTCTATTCATGGAAGAATCAGTGCAATATCATTTTTTTCCCATATATAAATAAGTGCCATATGATAGCAAATGTAATATGAGTTTATTTATAGAATTTTCCTCTTGGGAATAAATAAAGTATTTCTATTCTATTGTAGAATTTGTACAAAATCATCAATACGTATGCTGATTTCTTGCTTATTTTTTATTT